GCTTGCCCGGGGTACTTGACATGGAACTACAGGATTTAATGTTTGCCCTTCTGGGTTTCGGTCTTGCTTTGGTCACACTCCCTTATTTACTCCATTCCTTCATTTTGGAATGGGAATGTTTACCCTGTGCCATTGTATGTTAGCAGTATTTAACTTTCTTTTTATTTTTACAAGGGTTTACAATTAAGAGTTTTCCTAGACTCTCAGAGGAGACTTTGGACATGGACTTTTCAGGAATGCTGGAACTATTAAAAACTTGTCAATTTTAAGAGATGAACTAAATGCATTTTGCATAGAGATGCTCGTGAGGTTTTTTTGGGATCAGGGCCAAGAGTTTTGGTTCAGATCAAGGATGTTCTCTCAAACCCTCAAGTGTGAATAGATAGGGCTTTTGGAAGATGATCAAATCATGGGGTCATTATTGCTAACATTATTATTATTATTTTGTACTGGAGATTTAACTCAGCACCTTGCACTGAAAGGCAGGTGGTGGAACCACTGAGCTAAATCCCTGGCCCTAATATTGCTAACTTGCCCTTTGGAGGTGGGGTCTGGTTGGAAGAGGAGTGTCACTGGAGGCCCTACCTGGAAGGCTGTATATCCCTCCCTGGATCTTTCTGTCTCTTTCTGCTTCTTTGCTGCTGTAATGTAAATAACTTTCCTTCATGTTAGGCCCTTCTGCCATGCTACTATTAGCCCATCAACCAAGGACTAAAATCTCTAAAACACATGGGCCACAATAAACCTTTCATCCTTTAAGTGGTGGGTGTTCCAGTGATGAGAAAGTGAATAAGACAGTGGTCAGCTTGCAAATTTAACCTCTAAAAAGGGAAGAAAAAAAAAAAAAAGAAAAAAATTCTTTAAAAAGGTAAGATAGAGCTTTGCCTAATTCGGTAGCAGATCCCGTTGGTGAGGTAACTTCATAGTAATAGTTCAAATTCAAATACATATGTATATGTCTTCTTGTTCTGTTCTTCCAAAGGGAGACAATGACCAACCCAGTAACTGAGAATCCTAGTGTCCAGATTGTGATTTTCCTTGTTTTGATGGAAAAATATAGTTCATGTTTTTTGTCCCCCCCCATTACTGGGGGTTCAAACTCAGGACCTTGTGCTTGCAAGGCAGGTGTGGTGCCACTGAGGTAAACCCCTGGCCCTTAGTTCATGTTTAAAATTTTAAAAAATGATTGCACTGAAAAATATATTGCCATTAATGTCCCCTCAAAAATATCTCCAATACCCTCTTGCTTCAAACGTGTCTTTTGTTGTAATGCATTGTTTTATATTCACACACATAATATATTCTCAGATTGTGATCTTTTAGAACATTTATTAGTATGTGTTTGCAGTACAGAACATTTACATTCCTTGTGTTGAGTTGGTACATGCACATAACACATCTTAATTCCTTCTTTTCCCCCTCTCTCTCCTGCTCTTCTTCTCTTTATCCCTCCCTGTGTGGGAAATATCTATCTTTTATTTTGACCTTTATATTTTTGGTTTCTCATCCTTGAGAAACTTTGTGATATTTAAGTTTGTGTGTCTGATTTATTTCACTTTGCATCATGGTCTCAAGGTGCACCCATTCTCCTACAAATGAGTCGTTTGTCTTTCTTTATGTCAGAGTAGTACTCCATTGTGTATAAACAGAATATTTTCTTTATCCATTCATCTGCTGATGGACATATTGGCTGCTTCCAATATTTAACTATTATGAATTATGCTTCTTTAAACATGGGTATACGTGATTTACTGTAGTATAATGTCTTTAACTCTTTTGGGAAAATCCTTAGATGGAGAATAGCTGGGTCAAATGGAGCTGCTATTTTTAGATTTTGGAGGGATCTTCATATTGATTTCCCTTGTGGTTGTAAAAGTTTGTGTTACCACCAAGAATGTGGAAATGTTTCTTTTTTTCTGGCAGCCTCACCGGCATTTGTTATTTGATTTCTTGACGGTGGACATTCTTTCTGGGGTGATGAGGAATCTCAGTGCTGTTTTTTGCAGTTCTCTAATGGCCAGCAGTATTGAGCATTTCTGCATGTATTTACTGGTCATTTGTACTTGCAGTATCATTTTCCAGTAAAAGAAATCAGGGCTTTTGGACAAATGATTGATTCTGGATTGAGATCAGGAAACGTACAAGACAACCTGAAATATCTTCTCATACCAGAGAGCAGTGATGTACAAAGATTGCTGGGGGCTGATTAAAGAAGCACCTTCTGGGCAAAGATAGGACACACAGAAATAAGGTTAATTATAACAGCTAGAAATCCATCACAACTTTAGAGTGAGTCTGTGATTTTGTTATATTAAAAAAACTAACTTGCCACCTTTGGAGAAAGGTTGAAAATGAGTTAACTGTTTGGAAAACTAATAAGTAAAGGAAATAAGTAAGGATTCAATTTGACATTAATCTAGGCGAGGGAAAACATCTCTATAAAAACATATCAAAATATTTTAATCAATGTTCAGAAAATGAAAGGCATTAGGCTATCATCCTTTCCCAAACCTTGGATTTATAGATTTTGAAAATAAATGGGTACTGATATTAAGAGCCTCCTGATGAAAAGACACAAGAAAATCTACAGTCCTGTCAAAGGAATCGAACTTGAGTCTGATCAAGTCTCTGGACACAGCTACCAATTCTCAAATACGAGGACCATGGTACAAATTAAGCTGTGTCATGAGTGAGTATACAAACACCACAATCAAGTTTTGGGAAATTGCAGGTTCTTTAAGAGATCGTTTATTGGGGGTGGGGAGAGGATCATGCAGCTAAAAAGAGAACTAAGAAGTGTACCAGATGAAAATGGCAACACAAAACTTTAGTTCTAGGGATACACAATTGGGTGGTAAAACTAGAGAAATTAAAGGATATGTTTATTATGAAAATCGGGGTAGTAACTTGGGAATGCATGATTGGGTGATAAGTAGTTCAGTGACATGCGTATAGTAAAGTCAGGACAGTGGTGACTTGGGAGGAAAGGCTTATGACTGGGATGAGAATGCTTGGAAGGATCTTCGGGACAGATGAAATGTTCAATTTTATGGTCTGGGTGGTAATTATAGTAGAGTTAACATAATTTGTGAATTTCTCCATTTGTTTTGTGGTTTTTTGCATATATTTTACTACAAAAGTCTTTCTTTTTTTAAAGAGGGATTATTGACAAAGCAATAGAACTGAAGAGATGGGTAGAAAAATGCTTTGAGCATGGATGTGCAAATAAGATTTGTAGATGAGAATTAACATTTATTCTTCTGTGAGTATGGTTGTTAGTTGGGTGAAGAGAGTACGAATGGTATGAAAATAAGTAAATTTAAAGCTTCTGACCAAAGTTTGTTTTGTGACACATGCTGAGAGTGGGCAGAACTTGGCTGGAGGTGGGACAAATGGTATCTGAGGTTGACTAGAATGTGTAAGAGAAGCAAGTGGCTTATTTTCTAAAAACAGCCTCTGCAGAGGCTTCTGTGACATTTGCCAGTGGCTTTCAAAAGCCCAGGAGTAGAAGCAGTCCCATAGATTGCTTTTCTTCTGGGTAGATATGATGGAAAAAAACCCAGAATAATTAGTGTTCTAGAAAAATAATTGGTCGATGTAATATCATTTGTGTCGCTGATATCACTCAGGAAGATTAAAGAGTTATATTTTGGGTTGAATTTCATCCACTAAAAGATGTTGAAGTCCTATCCTCCTGCACTACAAATACAACCTTATTTGAAGACAGTATCTTTATTGACGATTAAGTCAAGTGAAGTCATTGGTATGGGCCCTCGTCCAATATGACCCCATCCTTATAAGAAGAGCACAATGAGATGCAAACAGGTGCACAGAAGAAAGACGCTGTGAAGACGAAGTAAGAACATCGTCTGCAAGTCAAGGAAAGCCTGAGGCTACCTGAAGCTAGGAGAGAGGGCAGGAATAGATCTTTCTTTGATAGCTGTCCTCCTGCTATCTTGATTTAGAACTTCTATCATGAATAAGTGAGACAATACATAGCTGAGAACAGTAAATCTCAGTAGTTTGTAACACAGTGAGGGGAATCACGAATTAGAGGAATTTGATGGCGAGAAGAGACCAGGAACAAGGCCAGCATTCACATTAAACAGTTTCTACTTTAACTCACAAAGAAGCAATGGAAAGGTTTTACATAGGGCAAAATGTGTGATCCGATTTCGATGTTGGGAAGGTCATTTTGGTTACTGAGTGGCGGATGAATGGTAAATGTCTAAACATGGTATGCACGACAACTTAGAGGGCCATTTGCTTAGTTCAGTGGCGGATAGTGATGGCTGGGATTCACTGGCAGCAGCGGAGATGGAGAGAGACAAAATGTGCGTGAAATGGATGTGGAGGCAAAATTGGTAAGGTGTGATGACCAATTCGGTGTGGGTGGCTCGAGGGAAAGGAGGTATCGGGTCAAGTCAGGTGTAGTTCTGGAAGTGGCACAGGGCTGCTAGGAGATTGTGAAATGCTGTTTGCTCGTCCCAAGTGTCCTAAAAAGTGTTCAATCACCTAGGCTGCCAAGAAGCAGTGTGTATAGTGAAGAACACAGCCTTTCACTGAGACACAGAGGTGAGAAGGTGTTCTAGGGAGGAGATGCGAGGAGAGGGTATGTTGTTTACGGTGGAATCGGGCTTCTTGAAAGCCCAGTGGAAGGTATGTAGCACATGGCAGTGCTCGGTAGGAGACCATGGACTGAGTGTGCAAGCCTTGCTCCATTCTAGTGTAGCCGTGATCTCTTATGGAAAGCAGAGCTCCCAGAGAGCATGGACAAGTCCCCATGGCACCACCACCATGAGTGTAAAGAGCACACTCTTGTGTACATAGCAGCCAGGAAAACCTGTGTGTAAGTTGTGACGCTGCGGTTTATGATTTATGTGACTTAGTAAAGTCATTTGTTTCACTTAAGGCTCATGTTCCTTGCTTTTAAAATAGGAGGAAAAATGCCCACCTGAACTTTTTTGCATGTTAGTCAAAAAACAACTATCGTAAACACTATGTCTGTCATCTACAAGAACTGGCCTGTGGCAATCTACCGTGATAGGCATTCGTTCAATGGGTGCATGAGTGTGCAAAGAAGATACAAGGACATTTGCCCAACATCCTACTGGGCCCAGTGTGAGTTGGTTGCTAGCATGCAAGTGGCACCCAGGAAGCGTGTTTAATGGCGAGATGTCATGTTCAGAATCAGACCTTTCGTTTATTGGACTGTTCAGTGGAGCAAGGAGATGTGCTTGTTCTGAAAGGTTCACTAGCCATGCACCTCCCCATTTCTCTAAAGCTACATATGCAGTAAGTGTCCCTGGCATCTCAGATGCATGTTTGCTGATTGGTTTAGCCATGAGGCGGCTACTCTTGGTCTTCGTGGTCCTTTTCTGGCTGTCCTGTATTCCACCAGGTAAAACTGGATTCTCTTCCCTGTAGAGTTAGGAATAGCAAAGGGAAGGGGATGTGAAGTTCTGTAAGAGTCCAACAAAAGCAAGACTGAGCCAAAGGAAGCCGGAAAGGACAAAACTGAACAGAGAGGGATGCTCTTGGCCTTTCCCAGGCATGGAAAGAAGATGCTAGGAACATAAAACAGGACGTGATTCTCTTCAGATAAGAAGCTGTTTCTTGGTTTGGATCTTGAAAGTCTGTGAAGTTTGCAGGCAAGGTTGAACTGATGTTTACAGAAATGGGGCAGAGCACACGGATGAAGCCTGAGAGGCAAGGTAGGACTTGCGGGGTAGTAGGGGGCCTGTTCCTTGAGAACACGGAACTTGGCTTTCCAAGTCAGCCATCCATGCAAATGTTCACTCATTCAGAAACCAAGGCAAATCTGCAAACAGAGCTGATTGTTAAAATGCACTAAATTAGCATAACTTGGTGTCATCTTCTGGCACATCAGTTTGAAGAGTCAGGATTTCTGTTCTCTGGACAGAAGCAAGTAACTTGATGATAGTGGGAAGAGACCACTTACATCACTGAAGTGGAGGTTGTCCAATTTGTGGTTCCTGGGATCTGCAGAAAGCTCCTACCTCCTGCCTCAAACCTTCATGTTCAAAAGGTATCATTAATGACCGAGTGTGGAGTAGAGCAGACTCAGAGGAGAATCACACTGGGGCTGCGGCTGCTGTTCTGTGGGGCAGGGGCTCTGGATACTTCGGATTGTGTCTGCACTGGGCTACTTTGTCTCCGGAAAGGTCCCAGAACTAGTGAGAGCACAGCTTGCAAGTTTATTTGCCATGTCTGTCACACTGGCTATATTCGCAGATCGATTACTTCCACACTACAAAGACTCGGTCAATCTGTGCTTCCACGGGGGCAGGTGGTGGAGAGACTAGAAGGCTCGGCACACAAGAGGAGGTGACTCAGGGCCACCCTCAGCCTCACCAGCTGCCTTCTCCCCTCCCCTTTACCTCTGGGTTCCAGAGGCACCAAGGTCTTAACATCTTGGGAAATTACTAACAAGAGATTTGAGTATGCGTTCCAGATATTTCAAATCCTTTCATGCTCGTTATCTGATAGGATGCCGTAAGCACCCTCTGAGTGAGCTATTCCTGAGAGTGAGGCACTTAGAAACAATCATATCTTCTGCAATTCCAGTTCAGTGATCTTTCTCTCTTTGCATGGACAAACCACCTCGGATATCCAAAATGCACTCTCTCACATCTCCTGCTAGGAGAAGCTCGCAGACACCTCAGACTCCTCAGACTCCTCCAACCTCTGGATGCTCTTTCCTTAGCAAGAAGTCCGAAGCTGAGTCTGCTCGGATTTGCTCTCTGCGTGGAGCGGACCAACAGTGGTGGTCGGTGGTCCAGGGGAGCTAACAGTAGGGCTCTGGGAAGATCTTGCAGGAGTAACTATAAAGGGGCAGCCAGCTGTGAGACATTTTAGATATCATTTTGGGGGGATGCCTTTGATTATATTGAGCTTATCACTAAAAAGCCATAAAGCATAGCCCCAGGTTTGATTATCCTTGGCAATGTGACATTACGGGACCCTCACTGTGAATTAACCTTTGTTTCTGTCGACAGTTAGAAGTGGACCAAATCTTTACATAAGACGAGCCTTTGGCTCTTGCTGGCGAATGAGAGGCGTTTGCAAGTCAAAATGTACAACGAAGGAAAAATATTATATTTTCTGTAACTCTGGATCTGTGTGCTGCATAACTGAAAAAGACATGCCTGGCCTGGTCGGGTAGTTGTGAGTGTCTGCAAGCTCCTGCTGAATCCTCTGGGGCTCAGACCCTTCCAGGGCCACATTCCATTAAAACAATGCTTTCAGCCTAGCAGTATTTCTGTGTTTCTGGTATGGTCTTTGCTACTTTCTTAATTAAACTCATTTTCAAGTTTTTAACTTTTTATTAATTTCCTACTTAACAAAAGTATCTTGAGAATATTTTTTGAAGTATAGGATGCAGGTGGAAAAAGGAACAATATTGAATAAACATCCTGAGGGTTTTACATATTTCACACACCTGGGTAACAAGCACCTCGATGGGGAAAAGAACACAGTAAGACTCCAGGCACTACCAGCCACTGACCCAGAAATGATATTCCTAACTGCACATCAAAAAGCAAAGTCTTAGCACCTGTTTTAAGCTTAAAACAATTTTTAAAATTTTTTTTATTTTTATTGAGTTTATTGGTACAATCTAGGTATACAATATAGTTACATTCATCATTGGGATTCTGTACCTTTACATAATAGGTCTTGATTCTCATTTTTTCCCCTTGTCCCTGCCCTCCCTTCACCCCCTCCTCCCCCATTTACAAACACTTTATTTCCATTTTTTTCAGTTTCTCATATTTTTTTCCTCTCCCTTATTACCTTTCCCACACCCTTCCCACTTTCCCTACACCTTTCTGTTTTAAACTTTATATCAATTCAATTTTAAAGTTTATATCTATATATTGATTGTAGTTTACCACTCTCAGTTGAACATACTATTACAATGGAAATATATCTTTGACTTCTGTTGTAGATGAAGACAGTTATAATTTCCAGGTTTTGGCCCTCACAAATAGTTCTGTTGATCTGCATTCCCATACTTTTTTTTTTTTTTTTTTTTTGCTGTAGATCTACTGGCATCTGAGGGTAGATACCTAGGAGTGGAATTTCCAGGTCACAGGCTATGCATATACTGTTTTGGTATGTAGATAGAGTCTGATTGTCTTCTAAATAGGCTGTGTACAAGTCCACAGAAAGAGTAACCACTATGATGGACAGCATTTAGAGTAAAACAAAGCCACAAAACTTCTCCTACACAAATAAAACCAATCTTTAGAGGCTCCAAAATATAAACTGAACTCAGGTATTGCAATTTACAAATCTATTCTTCATTCAGATAAAACTGTCTTAAAATTTTTTGTTAGTATATGTTTGTAGTATATAAAGTGTATACATGTTGTGGGGAGTAGGTAGAGATGCATAATTTAATTCTTTTTAACTCATTTCCCCTCTTCTTTTGCCCCTTCACTCCATGTATAGATCTCCTTCTCACTTACAAAGATCTGTCTCCTTATTTCTTATTGTCTGTCTTTTCTTCAGTTTTTTAAATTATTTGTACTTTGACTTTCTCATACGAGAGAAGTTATGTGATATTTAAGCCACGTGTCTGATTTATTTTACTTAATATTATAATATCAAGGTGAATCCATCTCCCTACAAATGATACAAAATTTCCTTTATGGTAGAGCAGTGCTCCATCGGGTATCAGTACTACCCCTTCTTTATCCGTTCATGTTGGTGGACATCTAGCCAGCTTCTAAGATTTATGTGTGAGGAGCTGTGCTGCTCTCAATGTGGATGCGCACGGATCGCTGTAATGTGCTATCTTTCAATCCTTCAGGAAGATACCTAGAAGGGAGAGATCGCTGGGTTGAATAAAATTCCTGGTTTTAGCTTTTTGCGGAATCTCTGTTCTGATTTCAGTAGCGGATACACTAGTTCACATTTCTGCCGACGATGTAGAATTCCTTTCCCCGCACAGCTTCGCTAGTGCTTGTTATTATTTGATTCATCGATGACAGCCATTCTTGGCGTAAGATGGAGCCTGAGTGGTGTTTTCATTTGCGTTTCTCTGATGCCCAGCAACGTTGAATATTTTTTCATGTGTTCATTCACCATTTGTACTTCTTCTTCTGGGAAGTGTCCATTTCGTTTGTCCATTTTTTGATTTGCCTTTTACTTTTGGGAGCAGTTTGATTATTTGAGTACTTTATGCCAGATACTAGTCCTCTTTCCGAGGAGTAGCTGCCAGTTTTCCCACCCATTCTGTGGGTTGTCTCTTCGCTCTTGGTTGTTTTCTTTGCTGTGTGGAAGCTTTTAAATTTGATGTGGTCCCTTTGTTGACTCTTGGTATTATATCATATGCAACTGGGGTTCAGTTCAAGAATTTCTTGCCTATGCCTATGTTTTCAAGAGTTTCACCAATTTTTCTTTTCTTTTAAAAACTTTCATTCATCTATTTATTTATTTTGGTACCGGGGACCTTGCACTTGTGAAGCAGGCAGTGGAAACACTGAGCTAAATCCCCAACCCCTTTTTTGTTTTTTTGAGACAGGGTCTCACTATGTAGTTGAGACTGACCAGGAACTCACTATGTAGCCTAGGCTGGTCTTGAACACACAGCGATCCTCCTGCCTCAGCCTCCCGAGTGCTGGGATTACAGGCGTGAGCCACCAAGCCCGACAGAGTTTCACCAATTTTTCCTTGAGAACATTCAGGGTTTCTGTTTTTATATCCAGGTATTTGATTTATTTTGATTTGATTTTAGTACAAGGTGAAAGATATGGACCTAGATTCATTCTGCGTGTGGATAGCTAGTTTTCTTTGCATCATTTGTTATAGAGATTATCTTTTCTCCAGTATAAGTTACTGACCCCTTTGTAAAAAAATCAGATTTCTGAAGGTGTTTGAGATTATTTCTTTTTTAAAAATCTTATTGAATTTACTGGAACTTTTTAGGTATACAGTACAGTTACATTCATCATTGGGATCTTGTGCCTTTAAGTGACAGATCTGAGATTATTTCCTGATCCTCAATTCTATTCCATTGGCAAATATGCTTGTTTATTTTTTATTTTTTGTCAGTTTCATGGAGCTTCTTGCTTTGCTCATGTTATTAAGATTGCATTAATTCTTCTTGTTCCATATAAAATTTAGAATTATTTATTCTAGTTTTATGAAGAAATGTTGTCAATATTTCAGTTGGAGTTGCATTAAATGTATATATCACTTTCGTAATATGGCCATTTTGACAATATAGTTTCTACCTATCCAAGATCAGGGGATTTTTCCATTTTCCAATGTCTTCTTCAATCTCTTTTTTTTCAGAAAAACATCATTTTTTGGTATAGAGGCATTTCACTTTCTTGGCTCAGTTATTTTCCATTTATTTAAATCTTTTTTTTTTTTTTTTTGGTACCAGGGATCGAACTTGGGTCCTTGTGCTTGCAAGGCAGGCCACTGAACCGCTGAGCTAAATCCCTGGCCCATTCATTTAAGTTTTTAAGACTATTACATATGAGATTGTTTTATTGATTTCTTTCTTAGTGTATATATTGTTGTTGTACAGGAACACTATTGATGGTTATGTGTTGATTTTGTTCCCTGCCATTTTGCTGAATTTATTAGTTCTATGAGTCTTCTGTTGGAGTTTTTTTGAGTCTTTTCTTGTAAAAGATCATGTCATCTGCACATAAGAATAGTTTGACTTCTTCATTTGTTTTTGAATCCTTTTTATTTCTTTTGCTTGCTTGATTGTTCTGGCTAAAGTTTTCTGTACTATATTGAACAGGAAGGGTGAGAATGAGCACCTATGTCTTTTGGTGATTTTTTTTGGAGAATGGCTTATACTTGTCTTATTTAATGTGATGTTGTTAAGGGTTTGTCATCAATGGCTTTATCAGATTGAGGCATGATCCTCCTATACCTATTTTCTTCAGAATATTTTTTTATCATGAATGGATGCTGGACTTTGCCAAAGGCCTTTTCTCCATCTCTTCAGATGATTAAATGATTTCTGTCCTTGCCTCAGTTCATATGGTGGGATATATTTATCAGTTTGCATATACTGAGCCGTTCTTGCATCCTTGGGATGAGGTCTACTTGGTCATGGTGTGTGATCATTTTAATGATTTGTTACATTGTATTTGTAAGCATCTTGTTGAGGATTTTTGTGTCTGTTCATTAAGAAACTTGGCTCTAGTTTTCTTTTTTTTTCATTGAGTTTATTAGTACTTTTTAAGTGTACAGTACAGTTACATTTATCATTGGGATCTTGTACCTTTACATGACAGGTCTTGGTTTTCATTTTTTCCCCATACCCCTGCCCTCCCTTCATCCCCTCCCTATTTATAAAGTCTTTGTTTCCATTTTTTCCTTTTCTCATATTTTTTCTTTTTCCTTATTACCTTTCCCCTACCCTTCCCACTCCCCTATGCCTTTAACCCTTTTCTTCTTATTTCACATTGTCAGTTACACAATTTGGATCTTATTTACACTTTTTGGTTGAGCTGTTTTCCAGTTTTAGAATCATGGTCACACTAGCTTGAAATAGTGGGTTTGGTAGTGTTTCTTCCTTTTCAATGTCATGGAGAGTTTGAGGAGTGTTCATCTTATCTCTTCCCCAACACTGGTAAAATACAGGGGTGAATCTATCAGCTTCTGGTCTTTATTTTTTGTTCATAAAATTTTTATTATTGTATCTAATTTGTTCCCTGTTATTGATTTGTTCAGGATTTTTATACCTTTTTGATTCAGTTTTGTTAGGTCATATGTGTCTAAGAATTTATCCTTTTTTTTTTTTTTTGGTACTGGGTATCAAACTCAGGACCTTGTGCTTGCTAGGCATATAGCGGCACCACTGAGCTAAATCCCTGTGGAGTTAAGCTTTTTTGTTTTTTGTACCAGGGATAGAACTCAGGACCTTGTGCCTGCAAGGCAGGCACAGTGTCACTGAGCTAAATCCCTGGTCCATTTTTAAAAATCCATTTCTCCTAGATTCTCCAATTTATTGGAATATAAAGTTTGAAGTAGGTTCTTATAGTTCTGTGGATTTGGTCCTTGTTCATTTTTTATTTTGTCCTTTTCATTTCTGTGTTGATATGAATTTTTCTTGTTACAATTATGATAAAACTTTAATGGAAAGATTATGGGAATAATTATAAAATACTGTATAAATATGTTTACTATGAC